GAATAGATATCCTCCGTCCCCTGCAAATACTCCGGGACAATCTTCTCCTCTGACCAGCCTCTGAGAACCTCCTGTATAGCGTCGAGGTGGGGTCGAAGATCTCCCAGCTTGGATTTAAGCCAGTTCGAAGCCTCCCGAAGCGCGTGGACCAAGGATATGGCCAGCTCCACGCCCGCCCCCGAGATGCCGGAATACGCGGCAAACTTCCTAGACAAGAAAGGCACCGCTTTGAACCGTGACGAGACCCACCTCATAGCGCGCAGCTGGGGGCATCGCATTTCCCTGAAGTCCTTGCGTAAAAGATGACCAGATGACGCCAGGATCCTCACCCCGAACACCTTTGCAGGGCAGGGCGACGTGGGCGAGGGAGAGGGAAGTAAAGATGGCCTCCAGCTCCTCCTCCGCCACGTTGGCCCACTGCTTGCACCCACTGTGGAAAAAAAGGGTCGAAAGCCGACGAATTCCCAGCAGCCAGAGAATTGTCACAGCGCCCTAACAAGAATTCACACCGTCCAAAATCCTGAGGACGGGGATGAGGCCCAGGGAAGGCTGTGACCGGAAACTCCGGGGGCTCTCTGAACCCGAGCGCCTGGAGACGGCATAGAGCAGGATATAACTTCAAAGCTATCGCCATGTGCGGACTGAAGTATCCGTTGGGGCACTCTGAAATATTCTTGACACCTTGGGCTAGTCCCCCCGAGAGCACGAAACAGCCCCTGATGCTAGAGGTGGCCCCGAAACACGTTGGAGTTCCAATGGAAATCTGTTCCCCCCGCAAGTTCCCCACCAAACCTAAATCCACGACCTGCTCTGGATCCACACTGAAGTCACCACCTACAGTACAAGGACCGCCTTGCATCGATGTGAACGCCCCGATCTTCTTCAAGAGGTCGATCTGGCGAGCCGCCATGCCCTCGGCATCGTACCCGTACACAGAGATAGCCGAGGTCGCCGGCCCACCTGGCGGATGGAACATAGCCGCTATAGCACGGCCAGATACCACGCGTGCCCCTGGGCTCGGGGCGCGAAGCCCCGGGCAATCTCTGGCCGCGACTGCCCCCCCCCCCCCCCCCTCCCGAGGTGCCCCCCTCCGGCGTGCGAAGTGCAGGCTGCCAGATAGATTTCCACCCCGCTTCCCGGCAGCGTTTGGCCGCCTCGTTGATCGCGTCCGCCTGCTGCAGGTGGTGTTCCTGCAGTAAGATGATATGAGAGCGGTCGCTCTTCATGATCCAGTCCCTGAACGACCCCCAGCTGCTGTAGTTGATCGTAGACGCCCCCAACGATAGAGAGTCCAACTGCGGAGAGCTGAGACCCACTGGCTGGCACCGGCAGATCGGCCAACAACTTCAACCAAACAGCAGGGTCGGGGGAATTACAGCCAGGACGGACCGAAGAGGAAGTGCGAGGCGCCATTATCTCATCGGCACCCTGCTGCCAAAAAATAGCCCCGGCCCAGTCCTCTCCCACCGCATCGCCAGCTCTCGAGGCGTGGACTGCAGAGAGATGGGCAGAGGCTGCGCCTGCGCCGCGAAGGGCCGCCGCCCTCTGCGGCCGAGGCCCCACCCCCGCCTGCAGGGGCGAGACACTGGGGCCACACGGGGGCCCAACAGCAACGTCTGAGCCACCGTTGCACATGAAATGAAGGGTCGCCTGTTGGCCGCCGCCGGCCCCGGCGCGATAAACAAAATGGGGCCCCCCCAGATTCTGGCCAGCGAAGGTTGGCGCTAGCCGCCCGTCGGGAACGACCGACGCGCAATGGGGAAGAGAGGGCGAGGAAGAGGACGGGAGGGCGAAGCGGCCGACAGCTTCACGAGAGGCCTGCCCGCTGGGGACGGTGAAGCCCCCGACCACGCTGGCGGCACGCCGGCCTGGCAGGGGGCCATCAAAATGGCGAAAAGCCTCTGCCCACCAAATCGCGAGCCCGCTGGCGAACGAAGCCTTCAGAAGCTCCTGCTGGCAGAAGGCCGAGGCGGTCCAGGTGCCCGCGGAGGTCTGGCGCGGACTCCTTGTCGGGCCCCACGTGGCCGGGACCCCTGCTGGGATCCTGAAGGCGTGGAGGGCCGCCAGCAGCGCCAGGAGCCGTTGAGGGGGCACCCTCGAAAGCGACCACCTGCGCGTTGGTGATAAGGCTCGGGAGAGGTCCGACGCAAACTGCTTCGCCGCCGCCTCCGCTTGCTCTGGCGAAAGGCCAAAGTTCCCCATCGATGATTGCAGCTTGGCAACGCCCAGCTGGAGAGCATGGACAGGCTGCCCTCCAGCATGACCACCATTCTGCGCCACCAGCTCAGCACGTTGCTTACTGAGCTCCTGGATGCGCTCCTCCTGGATGGTGAGGCCCCAGGTGGCCTCCTCGATCTAGCGCTGGAGCTCCCCCAACTGCAGCTTCTGCTTCTCGAGGGACTCTCGGCCTCGCTGAAGCTTGGCCTCAGCCTGTTGTATTTGATTTGTGACAGAATGAATGCGAGCATGGACAGGTTTGTTAGAGATGGCCTGCTGCCTGAGCTTGGCGCGTTCAGACTCGAGCTCGTTGCGCAGGGAGTCCCACGCTGGGCCTGTGAACTGGCTGGCCGCCTGCATTTCTTTCTCGATATCTCGCAGCCGCTTGCTGCAGTTCGCTCCTTCGTCACAGTCGGCCGTGAGATCGATGCCCATATCGCCTGGCTGCTTGTCAGCGGCGGACTTGCTGCGCATATGCTGCTCGAAACGCTTGACTGTCTCCCATAGCTGATCCACCTCATTGGTTCCTTTTCGGCCTTTTACATTCCCAGGATGCTGGCCAGTGCCCTCGCGGGCCTGACTCTGCGAGACTGAGGGCTGCAGAGGCGGGACGTTGCCCCCGAAGCAGGATCCCTTGTGAGACTTGCAAAGGCTGCAGAACAGTCGACTGCCCGCGTTGACCCAAGCGTTGCCTGACTTCTCGTGCTTGCAACCCTTGCAGAACCAACGCGGCTTGATGGTGGACCATGCAGAATCAGGAGAAGGAGCCATCTCGCCGCACAGCCTACCTTCTGCTGAAAGATCGTCGTACTTCCCTGGCTCGTGAGCACGAGCCGCTCTGAAGACGCGCTCACAAGCTCAGGCCTCCAAATGCCTGAGCCAGAACGGCTAGGAGGACGAGGAGGAGGAGAAGGAGGAGGAGGAGGAGGAGGAGGAGGACCCTTCGTATCCCTCATATCCCTGTAAGGCTGCCGCCGCCGCTTGCTCACACCCCAGTGCTGGAATGGGGTGTTGCCCAAGGCACCTGGGGCCCGACGCTGTTCACGAACTGAAGTGGTCGGGATGGAGCGTGTCCCGAAGCGTCTCGGTGTTGCTGGAGTGTGGTGGAAATCGCGGCTGACGGTTGGCCTCTCCGAGCGAAGTTCGGAGGGCTGCCCGGGCTCTTCCAGACGGTGCCCCGAGGCGAGCGTTGGGGTGGCCTCGAGGTCATGCGTTCGGTACCTTCTGATGTCACCATGATCAGTGATCATTTGAGTTTCACTCGCGAGGGCCAGGCCTGGGACATTGGTCTTGAGTCGGGTCTCTCCCGAAACGCCTCCATCTGGAGGAAAATGTTTCGGGCGGCGGAGAGGTCTGGAGGCAGGCCGTCGTTCCTTCGGACTCCAGCGCACAGGACGCTGAAGGAGCTCGCCGAGGCGCAAGCGGCGCCTGACGAGCTTTGGCGGTTCATGGGCAATACGTGGGCAGATGTTGTTCGCCAAGCTCGGAGTTAATGTTGTGGTTTTTGCTGAAGTCGCGGTCAGTGCCCTTCAAAACGAGGTGCGAAATTCCAAAATCACGCTTGAATTGTTGTCCTGGGCAGTGCAGCTGATTAGCTCCCGCCCCGAGGCCCAGGAGTGTGATCCACCACCTCCTAAGCCTGTGGTGCCCAGGTCTGAAAAACTGGCGTTGATCGCGCACCATCCAATGCCCCTGACCCCGGGTTCGACCACCGCGGTGCCGTGCAGACGCTGCTTGGCCGTGGCGAAGACCCCTTCCAGTGTCAAGTCGCTCATGAAGCCAGGGGCCAAGTGAGCTCCGCCTCCCATGCTCCAGGCCTAGGCCCAGGCTGTGGAGCAGATGGGGTAGCGGTCCCGCGTGGAAGGGGGGGGACTGGAGTCTGCTGCCGCTGCTCCTGCTGTGGGGGCGGAGATGGGCGGGCCTCTCTTCGAGTGTGATGGCCATCGGGTCCAATTGCACGGGGTCGTTATTTTTCTGCCTTCTCTGTGGGGCGCGGGTGGCTGTCGGCTCTCCCAAAGTTGATGCCCTCGCGGATGCCTGTCCTTTGGCCCCCCCGAACCCCGCCCGTCGACGAGCCAGGGACTGGCTCGCTGATGGCAGGCACCCTTCTGCAGGCACGGTGCTGACTACCTGATTCGTTGGGTTTCTCGCTGGCGTTGGCGGATTTGCCGCGAGAGCCTTTCATTAATTTGCTGTTAGTGTTATCCGCACCTCTTTTCAGTTGTGCTTCCATATCCTGCCCAGACTGTGTTTCGTTCTCGGATGACTCATTGTCCTATGGCTCCGCTCCGCTCCGATCCACCCCTACGACGTCTTCCCCAAACCCATGATTAGAGCGTCTCGCCTGGGCAACTCGCCTGGGCCTCCGACTCCGTCCGAGGCCGCGCGTTACAGTCGAGGTTGATCGGAGAGGACACGCGAGAGGACACAAGACCCTCGCCGAGGGCGACACTGCCATAGTAATGCAGAAGGCATGGGTCGCGAACCGCAGGACATGAGAGTTCCTTTCCTATCTATAGTATACAAGTCCGGGGGGAATCCCCCCATTCCCCCCCCCCCCCCAAACTGGGATCAACTTTTGGCGCGCCGCGCGGATTTCTTGGATCTGTGCTAGTCCCCCTTCCCTGGCGCGCGGAGCGCGCCAGGGGCGGTGCCGGAGGCGCCGCCGGAGGGCGTCGCGCGGAGCGCCAAAAGGTTTACGTGTGTGGCGTTCTTTCTTCGACTCCCGCCCTCCCCTCCCTGCGCCGCCGCCGGTCGTCTCGTCTTCGTCCGTCGCTCGTCGC